GGAAGAAGCAACCCCCCCCCCCCCCCCCCCCCATCATTTAAGTTGCTCTTCTGTGCCTTAGGCCAAGAGGATCTTACTTGAGGGAGACGGATCACCACCAGCAGGCTGGTAACGCCCGCCTCTGTTGCATCCTCAGAGGCTCATCTCGTTCCCAGCCCAGAGCCGAGATCTCGAACGTGATTTTCCCCCCCCCCCGATGATGCCAAAGGTATGTCCTCCTTGGAAGTATTGGCCTGTCGTAATAAAGATATGGACTATCTGTTTCGCATTACCCGCCGCCTCCCGAGGTTTTCCCTTCCAACTGCAGTACTCCAGTAATGAGAGCCACATTCGTGCTGCAGGGAGGGCGATTGTTAAATACTACGAGTAAGGTCGTACTGCAACCTGAAGTCGGGCGAGCTGAGGCCAGCCATGAGAATCAAGCAGCCTTCAAGGTCATGCTTGAGCTTGGTACTGATGCGTTTACAAGAAAAAAAATGACTTGAGAAACTTCTGTTGCCCCGTTATATCGCAGTTCACTCTTTTGCCGCTGCTAGATCCAATATCTTGTATAACGAATGGAAAAACCACCTCACAAACACGTTGACTTACATGTTAGTTCAGAAATGTTTTATTTTTAATCTTTGGTTTGTCTTTTCACTGCAATACGTCACTGCATCTTTCAGATCTCATCCTGTGTATACATGTCGATGTCTTAACTGTCGCGACTTGTCCACTATTGCAACCTCTCAAAGTTTCTCAAACGGCTTTTCGAAGTGGTCTGACGTATGCGGAACGTCATGTCCCTAAGCGCCCCTGATTATGAGGAGTTTTTCCACCAGCTTGATAACAGAATGAACAATATGCGCACACACGTGGGACATTCCCGTAAGTTATTGTAAGAAAATATGTTTTAGGACATGTACCTGGCATCCACCCCTCCCCCCCAAAAAATGCTACCTCAGATCCCATATCGTCAGATTGCCCATGAAATCAATAATTAGATGAGATGCAGTAATGACTGAAGCATATGGAGCTCTTACAAAAACAATGCACAATTCTCCTTAATGTGGAACAGGTGGAGCACTCCTCAGCATCTCACAAAACACGCCGCATCAAGTATGCATGCACGCACGCGCTTTCCCGTCAGGTGCATCAACCACTAACATGCCGGAACACTGGAAACGAAGCATTTGGAGCAATTCAGTAAGATCTAGGTCAGGATAACATGAAAATAGGAAAGAGCGAGACTAAAGTTGGTTTAAGTCACGGAAGCACTGACATGATCCAGATGTGGTCTGTAACATTTTCAATTATTGGTCGTATTACTCAGCACATAACGATGTTTGTCAATAAAAGTGTGTTCCTCATAACGAGAGGATTTGAATTCGGTAAACTTTAGAAAAAAAAAGCTAAGCTGAGCTGAAATAATTTAACATTTTCAGTGTCAAACCAACTTGTGTGACACCATCTAATGGCCGGCAGTGGAATTACACCAAAACAAACAAAAGACCAACCTACTTATAAACTGCGCAAGAAAAAAAAAAAACCCGGTGAATCCAAAACCGTTCATCTGAAATCTGACAGGTTAAAAAGAAAACAAACAAAAACACTCTAATAATGTATAAGAATATTGTTCAAGTTCGATTGGCCAGCCCTACCGATTCTGAAGGCTCTGGGCAGATTAGATTGACATGGCAACACGGAACCTGGAATCTGGACAAAAGAACAATTGAATGGAACAACAAATTTTAGAAAGTTAAAAAGTTTACTCACATATACTTCTTCTGATAATATTATCCCGGCAGATCGCAGCAAACATCTGTGAGGTGAAAGGAAAGGAATGAAAGAGTCGCTTCAGTGTGGCAGACGTGCGCGGTCGCCGCCTTTGATGCTTTTGTGCTTTTTTTTTTTTTTTTTATAAGGAGAGGCGCGGTTGGAGTGACAACAGAGTGTTTGCAAGGCACAAAGAGAACCAAGTCAGCCGAGAGTATTTTTTTTTTTGCTTCACTTTGCTTCGTTTAATCCCTCTCGGCCCCCATAAAGGCCCTTGTGTTTGGGATCATTGCGCTCACCGCCTCAAAGAGAAAACTGCCCACATTTGTCCGGGCTGTTCTTTAAACAAGCGCAGAGCAGCGGGGGAGGATCTCCTCAGAACAAAAACAAAACAAAAAAAAAAAAAAAGAAAAACGTGTGATTGCGTCTAATTTTTCTGCGGCTGACATCATCCTCTAAGCTCCCTGAAACGAGCCTCCAGAACCCTGGTGAGATTGGGAAGATTTCCCTTTATTGTCTTTCCTGTGATGATACGAGATGTTGGGGATTCATAAATCATCATACTGTTCCTGCTTCTTAGCCAATTTTTTTTTCTCCTTGGACCTTTTGGTTTGCGTGCCCTTTTTTTTTTTTTTTTTTTTGGTCTTTGTTTGGAATTGATCGTGCCGGAAAGATTAAAAAAATATATTATTTATATTTTTATTTATTTATTTATTTTTTACTTCAAAGAGATTTTTTTTTCTCCCACTGAAAAAAAAATCCAGTCATCACATTGTTGGAACGAATTAAATCCCACTTGAGCTCTAAATCATCAAAGGCCCGATTATCAGAATCCTACAAGATTATCCTGAGCAATTATCTTGTGGTGTGGGCTCCTCACATACCAGCAATCGGGCCAAATTTGAGCACCTTTTTTTTTTTCCTTCCCTGGTAATCAAAGTCGGCGGGGGGTCCGATTGCCGGACATCTCATTTCGATTATCGTGAGTGATCATCCTGTGGTGCGAGGGTGGCCAAAAGTGATTGATCACCCCTGATCTGCCTTCAGGGGCCCACAAACGACAATTGGGTCAAGGGCAACCATTTTCCCTTCCTCGCGGTCAAAGTCAGCGAAAGCCTGATTGTCAGCCGTCTCTAAACCAGGGGTCACTAACGCCGGTCCTCACGCAGCCCTATCCAGCATGTTTGAGATGTCTCCCTCCTTCAACACACCTGATTCAAATGATACAGATCGATAGAAGGCTTCTGCAGAGCTTGCTGATGAGCAGGATAGGGGCCCTCGGGGGCCAGAATTGACGATTATCCTGAGCAATTATCTTGTGGTGTGTGGCGGGGGTGGTAATCGTGATTTTTTTTTAACATGATCTGCTTAACCCTTTCAGGGACAGCAGTTACTACAGTGGACAGCTAATCAGATGATCAGGTTACAGGGTGCAGGAAAGGTTTAAATGGGTTACACGAATAATAACAAGCATTTTCTCTCTTTTGCGACCATGTCAGCAAAGGTTCGTGTTTGGGACAACTAAATTACAGTAAACGCCATCTTACAAGTACTTGGAAAATTGGTCACTTTTTGTTGATGTTGAGCACCCCCCTCCCCCCCTTCCAATAAATGAAGTGATTCATTTATTGGAAGAATAAAATCATCTCAGTTCCAGTAAAGGATTCATTAGTCCCCCCTCGGATGATGCAAATGCGACAGTTCATGTGAATTTTTGTATTATTATTTTTAGGTTTTTTTTTTTTTTTTTTTTGTCCAGTTTCGCCAACCACGATGGTCACTCATCCCCCCGAGAAAACAGCCCGCAAAATCCTGCAGGGGCTGATTAATCTGAGAATGCAGAGAAGAAAAATCCACCGCAGAATCATCTTTCAACTTTCCCAGTCCGTTATGTCGCTGGCACGAAAGGGTAACTTCAAGGCGGCAACCTGCCGAGTTCTCAAGGACGATTTGGTGTTCAGGACCATGCATGCATGGCCTGTAGATCCCAGTGAACAATCCAACTTTGACAGCAAATATATACAGCATTCACAGAACTTAATTCGAACCATCTGCCGGAGCTCTGAATACGACATCAGTCAAGCACTGCAAGAGGAATGCCGTCAAATTCAGATTTTGACAAACATTTTCAGGAAGGATACACCTCGCATCATAGCCATACAAAACTTATTCCAAACCGATGAGCTTGGAGTATTTCACAAGGCTCAATAAACAGTCCACTGCTTTTTACAGTATCCTCTCCATAAATGGGTCCACAAGTCTCGAGACTGTTAAAAAGACTCCAGCAAAGTAACTAGATAAGATAGCTATTGTGTATATATTTTTGTAATTAAGACTTTAGCACAGTTTTAGCGTGGGTTAGTGACTGCGGCAGGTTCCGACTTCCGACCTAACTGTCATATACTGATGGGAACATTTCTCCTAACACCTTCTGGGCACTTTTTAGTCTTTGATAAACCATAACATACATGTTTTTGGAATGTTAGAGTTAAGCTGGACTACCTGGAGAAAAGCCACGCAAGCACAGGGAAAAACTCCCTGAGCATTCCTTGGGCCACGGTGAGCCACGTCAGACGGCAGCCAAACCAGTATCACAGCTGTCCAAAACCTGCGATCATCACAAGGTAACATGAAAAAAATTTCAAATTACCTTCATATCAAAATAGAACATGTCATCGAATGGCGATTTATGACCCGAATAACATTGGCCCAAATTTGTTACTTTTATTATAGCACGCAGGCCATTTTAAGCATCGTCACCTTGACCTTTGACCTTCATTCAAGAGCCCCGTCAACGATGTCAATGTTTGAACTTCCTGAATGGAGCGACCGGCGCATCGCCTTGCAGCCTCTCGTCTGTGGTGAGCATGAGTAAATGTCTGTCAAGGTATGCACCAAAACTATCGCAAAACAACCGAGTGCGCACCCTCGGTCGCACTACCGAAACTGTAATGTAAGTGGGAAGAGTCTGGCGTCCTGTTTGTGGACTAAAGTGGGGTGGAAATGAAGGGATGAGTGTCGAAACGTAGTGCGTGTGTGCGTGCGTGCGTCCGCCAGCTGTCACCGTGTGCGCTGAAAGGGTGAGAGAAGTGCGCAATTGCTCACACGCGTAGTTTAGAGGGGAACATTGGTTAGCGCTGATACCGTCACGATGCGTGACCGGAGGTTGTGGCCGAAATCTCCACTTGAGGTTACCCTGTGACGTTTTCAGTTCATCTGACTCACGCAACACAGTCCCTTTGTGGTTGCTGTCACATCAGCCATGGTAGGGGGCAAAAAAAAACAAAAAACGATGATCTCGAATTTTGTTTTATCTGTTCACGTAATGCTACTCGGAAACATCAAATGAGTATGCGTTCCCACATGACAAAGTGCCTCCACCAATGCGTTTCCTCTTCCTGTGTGTGCCCGCAGTGGAATTCTACTGAAGATTCGGCCCTTAGAGACCAGTGAATGGGACATGGAAAGACTTGAGCTTGGCTTCTTTTCAGCGCGCTCGCTTTTGTTGCATCACGTCTCTCTTTTTTGTCCGAGTCCAAACGTCTCTTCATTAAGCACCCAGGCGGCAAAATGTCTCGACTTGACCGCTGTACAGTGGCTTACCAACCGCCCTCCTCATACGGCCCCACAACTTTGGGAACACACCTAGACAATCCAATCCGTAGAATAAACCCTTCACTTTTGATTGACACTGCCAGAGACGGAGAGGTGCAGTATTAATATTGCGGGTGTCACATTGACCTCACAAGTGTTCTTCATTCGGTGTTTGGTCTTTTGCCGTTAGCCCCAACGGACAGTCACCACCGCCCCCTGCTGGGAACGCAACGTCTGCAACCCAATAGATGGATGGATGAAATGAGATGCCGCATGTTATACATTTTCACAGCCGTAATGTGATTCCGAGGGGAACATAACTACGACTTGTGACAAAAAATGAGTTGCCCCCCGCTGCTTATATAACTAAGCTTCGACTTTCTAATGAGTCCAATGCTTTTGTCAATGTCGGGAATGAAAAAGGATGTGAGTGCAAGCAAATAAGACACAGTCTTAGAAGTGAACCACCACACCATCATTTAACCATTACGTTGAAGTCGAGGGACTCCGAATGCCACTGCAGGCGCCATAGCAACATCGACACAAGGAGGAAAAAAAGAAAGTGCATGCAGGGGAAACTATAGAGACACTCCACTAGCCTCCTTTTGATAAAGAGGAACTGAAACCTGAGCCTCGATCCCCGACGAGAGCTAGCTAGCTGCTCTGACGCCCGTTAATTTACTTGTTCCAAGATAATATGAAGGGATGGAGGTGATGTGACCCTTTGAAAGGTCACACAAACTCCAGTGGAGGAAGATGCTACCTGCAGGTGGGCGAGCAGACAGAAAATCTCAACCCCAAATTAATCTTAAATGACATTGTGCAAAAACTAGGGTGCTTATTGTGAGTCAGCCCCCACCCCCCAATTTTATTGGATAAATATTCATTCTGGACCGCTCTAGATGATGTACAGCAGTGGCACAGCTGTGTGGTGAGCTGTTATGCAGTTTTTGGGTGTTTTTTTTTTTTAGTAGCATAGATTTAGAGTTTGATTTATAGGTTTTTATATTTGCACCGTGATGGTGGTTAAGTCCCCGCCCAGGCACCGAATACCTCGGTTGCCACTGCCATGATTTGGTCTTCACCCTGGTTGGCGTTTTCCATCAGCTCACTTTCTCAGCCATCCACAACTCTGTCCATGCGCACTCAAAACATTGAATTTCCTTGCGAACTTTACAACACGTGTTCATGTGGACAGACAGGTCCTAAGCGCCCCCTAAACACCTCGTGACAAGGGGTTGGTGGGGGGGGGGTGTTGGGTCTGAAGAAGCGTTTCAAAACATTGGAAGAGGCCCTCTGTGGGGCTATGGGAGCCATTGTATCACTGGCAATGCAACCTGCATGAAAATTGGATTCGGAGGCCTTCCTGACGCAGGGAATGTGTTCATACGGGAGCGAGCGAGCCAGGGGGATCTTGGAAGAGAGAGCATGGGGTTTGGGGCGGGGGTGCTTGGGGGTGGAATAAGGATAAGAGCCTCTTCAAAGCAACACATCTACTGAAGAAGCCAGCATCCTGATTAGTGTGGGAAGACTAGTGGCAGAGGAGACAAAATAAAATAGTAGGGGGGAGGGGATGATGTTTATAGTTGGCTGAATAAAGATTCCTGTCACCTTCACGGAGAGGAGACGATGACATATGGGTGCGCAAGACCTTGATCTCGGCCGAACCTGTTTCCACTTGTCCGCTTCTTTTTCTCCTTCTCCAAGCAGCGGGCGCCTTCCACCAGAGTCATCCCCTTGAAATAGGCTAATTGTGTTCAGTTGACCTCTTTGGATGCAAAGGACCTCACGAGTTAATCACGCAGCAAAGCCTCTTAGTGACAGCCGGGCCCTTAATTGCATACCATCAATCTGGTCGGCAGCAAATCTTCGCATTCCATCCGCATGGGAATGAGCCGACGTCTGCTTTTGGGATGAGGCAAATCTTCGCCAGATTAGTCGTCTTCCTCCCAAAAATCTCATTCTCCATCCATGCCAATTTTTGGCGGTCTAAATGAAACCCACATTGGAGGGAAGCGCAGCGTGCTCGCAGTTAGCCCAGCTGCCTCACATTCAAGAAAGTAGCTCGTTCAAAGTGTGAATTTTGCTGGGTCAACGAGAAAAAGTCCCACCACGCTTGTCGCATTTTCACCCCAGTTTACCCTTCGCCCACCCCATGTTCATGGTTGTTTGCAGTTTCCTGTTCCCGGTTTTTGTAGAGGTCATCTATTGGTTGTCGCTTATGTCATGGCACCTTAAAGACATGAGTGGACAGACTTTGAGTGTGAGAAAGAATGACCTAATACAGATTGTAAGTACAAATAAGTAAGCTACACGTAAAAAATGATCATAAGAAGGCAACATTTACCCAGTTAGCTTGCCACTTCCTGTAACATGCTCTTATTTTGAAAGACAGAGTACCAGTTCCATATGCAGAAATAGTTAACTAAGTACAAATCAACATGAAATGCTTTTAACCCTTTCATGCGCCAATAATGATAACCCGATAACATGATAAGCTGTCCACTGTCGTAACCGCGGTCCCTGAAAGGGTTAATCACACATTCCGGCGCAACGGGTGATGGCTAATGCTAGTTTGCCGTAACTCACTTTGTCAGTGACGCAAACGGTCAAACAAATTTAGTTGTGTTATATGTCAAGATGTGCCCCCGTGACTGGCGATATGCCCAAAGTCAGCTGGGATAGGCTCCGGTTCACTCGCGGTGATTGTATAAAATGGATGGACATGTGGACATTATTGTTTACATGGACGTGGCATTGGTGTGTTTCTTTCCAAACGTGTGATGCTCAGCAATTTTGGCAATGGCGGCGCCCTTCTTATGTTGCCTCTTATGTCCCCCCCCCCCCAGCAGATGCCTGAGCCATCGGCGCCTTTTCTGCACCCCCCAAAAAAAAAAAAAAAAAGTTCAAACAAACTGAGCGGCGTGACTACGAATGGGGGAAATGCGGACGCCCCCACGGGGGTTTGGTGAGGATTCATTTTTGTGTGCGATTCTTAGCTCATCTGCTCGCTCCACGCTGAGCCCCAGGAAGCGAGGTGAAAACAGTAACCTTTTCCACAAAGCAATAACTTCCCACCATGACATCGAAGCAACATCGCTTCGGTTGTTCCTCGGCGCTAGCTGTGAGAATGTCAGATGAGCTCTTTTCATCTGAGAGGGGGAATCCTATCTGATTTACTTTGGCTGCGGTGCCTGTTTGTACGGGGCCCATGTTTCATTTGAATACCAAAGGCAGGCGAGGAAGGTGGCCAGACACTTTAGATGCAATATTTTAGACTTCCCTCCCCGGGGACTGCGACGGCTTCAATGTGGCCGACAAAGAGAAGCGATGACGGGAGACAATGGCGCTTCTGTGGTCGGCGGCCCGATGCTAATCTATCAGGCCTCTCTTCAACGCAAATGAGACAATCCCATTTGCATTTCAGTGCGCGCCTCTCCACGCTCGAAACACCATTTGAGGAATCCGTCCTATTTTTTTGCCGATTAACCCAAAGGAACCGTGGTGGCCAACATGTCCCTTCTGGTGTCATGTTTGTGTTGAGCGTGCCGGGTGACAATGACGGAGTCAAGACAATCTGTTGGCGAGACAAAAAGAATGGAACAGTGTGAAGGGTTCTTTTGCCCTCCTCTTGTGTTTGAGGTCAAGATACCGTATTGGCCCAAATATAAGACGGCCCTGATTATAAGACGACTCCCTCTTTTTCAAGACTCAAGTTTGAAAAATACTTTTTGAACACCAAATTAATTTTTATACAGAAAATAATTACAGTACATCTGAAACAAATGATTCTAACAATATATTTGAGTGAAAAAGCATGTTATATTGCCTCATTCAAATCTTAAGTGCAATCACATTCGTAAATGAATGGCTTCTGGTTTTTGAAATGTAAATTGCATCATAACTTCTCCTCAGCTGCCGGTTAACCTGGCCGATCTTCGACCCACTTTTCTCCAGATTGTCGCTACGTTTCTCCATTTTCTGTTATCTCTTCTATTATTTTCTTCTCTTTTCCTTCTTAGCGCTAATTTTTATTTTTCTTCTTTGTGCTACTGCTATTTTTATTTTTATTCTTCGTGGCAGGGGTTCACTTTGGCCTGGGGAGTCAAGTTCAGCATTCGCTTCATTGATATCTGGCGCCATCTAGCGTCGTGAATGGGTATAAGGTCTAGACCCCGAATATAAGACGACCCCCACTTTTTCAGTCTTATTTCAATGCAAAAAACACCGTCTTATATTCAGGCCAATACGGTAATTTGCTGGCAGCAAACGTCATGTCACGATCTGTGATTTTGGTTAACTTTTGCATTGTTTTGGTTGGATTTAGTTTCATATCAAGCCATATTTTGCTTTCTGGTGTCTCTTTTTCATTGTCGTTTCTCAGTTGGCGGCGTCTTGTCTGTTCTTCGGTCCGTCTGATCTGACGTCATCAGTTTCCGCCCAAAGATGCATTTTGTGCTGGCTGTCACGGAAACACGTCAGAGTCGGGGTGAAGGGAAGTACTCGCCCGTTCCGATTTACAAAGAGGAATTGCGTTTTTTTTCGACTACAGCATTCTTGATATTGCGAAACGGCCATGTTTGCCTTTTAGTTTTTAACCCTTTGAAGGTCAGCGGTTACTACAGTGGGCAGCTTATCATGTGATCAGGTTAAGAAATACAATTTTTTGGAGTACATCCTGTTTTAAATTTTTTTTAATTTTTACATTCCAACTTCAAGCATATTTAAGATGATAAAATTCCACGGTTTTCGTATCCCCCAGGGAACCCGTTCTCACTTTCTCGCTGTCAAGAAATGCTAGACTAAAGTTTGTCACTCCCAGTGGAACTTTGATGTCAAACCGCCACGTGAAACAATAATTAAACGTTCCATATTTCAAGACAAATCGCCAACCGTATAATAAAATAACAATGCGGTAGCTTCATGCTAACATAGTCACTTTTATTCTCTGGTAAATGCACGTGAAAGATGAACCGTGAAATAGCGGAGACCCATTGCTCATGCGTTTGTTTTTCAACAGGCTATTTTTTTTCCCAGTTTAAAAGAGTTTAGAAGACACCTCGAGTCATCCATCATGTCAACAGCAATTGATGAGAGTCCAGCCGCTGAGTGAAAATGGGAATGTTTTGTCCTTTGTTTTTCATGTTAGATGACAACATGGACTTGCAAAAAAACAAATAAAAAGACGTGAGGAGCCAGTTGGCAACTTTGCAAAGAACCGCGCAAGGGCAAAAAAATGTCAGAACTGTTTCCACTTCAATGTGATACGGAAATGGATTTTGCCGGGTTTTTGTACTTTATTTGAGTATTTGTTTTATTTCCCACTTTTTCGTTTGACTCCATACATTTGAACCCAACAGCGACATGAAGGAACGTGACCCAGGGAGCAGCAACAGATTCCAAGAAGCAAGGTATTCCCAACCCGTGGCCTCATTTAAGAGACTTTTGATGTTTGTCGGTTCCAAGAATGTCTCGTGCCGCCAAGATTCTCCATCTAATCTGAACTATAACACATGCCGGTAATTTATTTTTCCAGGTCGCAATTAGCCAATGTAGCATTTTTTTGGAAGCCATTTTACCTTAGTTATTCGTTCGTTTTTTTTGCTGCCCTCAGTCTTCTCAATTGCTTTGTCATTGTAATTTTTTAGAACAGAAGGCTAGAAAAAAACTAAAATGAAGACTCCCGATAACATTATCTCACCCTCATGGTACATTGAGAGTCAAAGACAGGAGATCTTTGTGCTCCTCCGTGATTGTTGTTTGCCTGCTTGTCTCGTTCCCAATGAGGCATTCGATGTGATGCTATTTTGTTGTTTATTTTTTTGAAACATTTGTGACAATCAAAGTCGAGGGCAATCAGAGGTGAAAAAGAAAATAAAGGAAGCTATTGTGTCCACGCAGGTGAAACGCCCGCTGGCTCGACGCAAGCAGATGCGGCAACGTGATAACGGCAAACAAAAAAAAACAAGGTTGAAAGCGTGGCGGTTTCAAGAGGTAAAAATACTCTTTGTCTTTTTTCTCTTTTTCCCCGAACCAGCATCTTTTGGTTTGCAAAACAGAGCCTCATCTTGTTTCACAACCACTGTTGACCAGATTGTTCATTTCCCCTCCTCGGCGCGAGCGAAGCAGCATGACCTCATATTTGTTTTGATTCCACGCAACGCGGACACACAAAAAGGACGTCGTAAATTTTGCGCGTTTATTCCCCCTGGCGCATAATATTTAAATAGTCATTGGAGACACATGCTTTCGCTTCCTCTTGTAGTGTTAATATTTACACTTTACACATTTATGACAAGCACTTTTCCCTCCGATTCCACGTTGTATTCTCCTCCCTTGTGTTTAATTTTCAGCCGGCGTTGTGCTTCAAAGCTGTGATCATAGATTAGCTCCAGTTCCATCTCGACCCATCTTGCACATCCTGTTTCTGATAAAAGTCCCTATAGGTACCCATAAATTTTGAGATTGAAAAGGAATTTCCTCTTGGCTGTGTAAACTTTTTGCTTGAAAGCCAGGAAAGAATAAATTCAAGAAACTCAAGTGGATTGTATTCGCACAGTTGGGGTCGGGGAGGGGGGGGGTGTTTAATCAAAGTCAGGTTGTGTCCATTTTGCATTTTATTTTGACTGTATAGTGCCATTTCACAACAGAAGTTATCTCATAGTAAGTTAGGAGTGAGTGGTTTTTATTTCGCTATTTGCCTCGACCTGTTGCATTGCGTATGGGGCGGGATAAAAGCCAATTCATACTTGCTTCACATGCGTTTCCTGTCTTGACGTTGCAGTCAGCCAATCACATTGCAGTCGGCCATGTCTTGCAAAGAACTCAAGTGTTCATATAGAAAACAGTACTGTATATGACGGAAAGTACTATTGTTCCTGTACATATGTTGCTGGATCGTTTCAAATCCATCGCTTCAAGGCTTATTCGCAACAATCATTGCCTGTATTAGCATTAGCGTTAAATTAGCATACCAAAGGCTAAGCTAAGTGGTTGTTTTAAATACACGGTGCGTATTTCGCTTTGTTTTATGTTTAATTTGACAGTAACTGAACTCTTTTTTTGGGGGGGGCTTTTGCATTTGGATGTTAGTTTTGTCCATTGCTCAATTCAACATTGCTGACCAATGTCACTTAAACTACTGGACATAATATTAGCAAAGAGGCTGTTTTAATCCGGGCCAGTATTTTTCCATCCTCTGAATCATAGCAAAATTTACAACCAATTTAGACTAACAAAAGACGCATGTATCAATATGCACAAACACAGTGAATAATCATCACCCGTGATAAGTATAATGTATTTTTCATATCGTTGTCCTGCATTTACTTAACTATTAATTCAAAAGTGCGTGGCACAGTTGTGTGCTGTTATGTTATGTTTTTGTATCGAAGTGATGGTTTCTGCAATCACAATTTGACAGTGGCAGTATTTAGAGGCAGATTACATTGGGTAAATTCCCACGCAAGGCCCAGGTACCAAATGCAGGGCCCACCACTGATTCAACATTATTATCAAAAGATAATGTGGGTGATGCACACTGCGTCAGTGTTCTTTCACTGTTTACCCTGGGTTACTTATTAGTCCCAATGTTACCAGACAGTGCAAATATAGATTTGTTTGTGTAATTTCGTTCGCACTTCTCATGCAACAATGTCAACCCATGACAAATTCAGTTTTCTTGTCACCTGGTCTCTGCAGTTACACATCCTGACCGCTCGCGTCGCTGTTTTTTAATCTCGCCAGCGGAAGCGAGCAAGGTCAGAAATCCAACATGGCGGCCCGCGGTCTTCTGCGGTCCGTCTGGAGTTCATTCACGTCTTTTAACTGTGGTATAAGCGCACAGATCATTTCGCTGCAAAGGATACAAGTGCCACCGTTGTCGCATTCGGTTAGTCAGAGGAGAGGAATCCGTCAAGGTGAGACGGTTTCGCGCAATTTTAAGAATAGTGTGCGTGTGTGGCTATATGCTGTACATAGATCGACATGATTTTCAACGAGACGCTTCCTTATTCTTTTGAAATAATCTGAATATTAAGGCGCTACAATGTCAAATGTTTCCCCTTGTTTGTTTCTACAGTCGTGGAAAAGCGTGAGGGTCAAACGGTGACCGTAAGTACAAACATCCATTTGTTTATGAAATCTCCTGTTCATATCCGTTGTGTTAGGGTGCTTCTTTATATGCTCCTGGCAGTTTGGAGTTACACTACGTTTTATCCAACACAACATGTAGACGTGGTTGTCCTAGATGTATAGTTTGTCTTTTTTTTTTTTTTTAAATGTAATTATTTAGAATGACAATGACCGTCATCAAAGTGGTAGTTACTCTCAACTAAGATGCATTAGCTGTAGTTGTCAGCAAATATCCGATGCATTATCAATATTGTGTATAATGTAATGTATTTCTAAAGATTGATAGAGGAAATAGTTTGTCACTTCAAATGTACACGGAGATAGACACACAGAAAAAAAAAGTGATATGTGCTTTAAATGGAACCAAGCACTTGAAGCAGCCGTAGTGAAGGACAATTATCGAAGACATCCAAGATGAAAATGTTTCTTGCAAATCTGAGCAAATGTGCCAAACTAATTTTCAAAAATGTCTTTCAGATGGAAGGAAAAATATTGGACACTGCAGCCGCACCCGAACCACCAAATCCCACCGCCAAGTGTCCGATCTATAGATGGAACCTGCAGAACAAATACAACTACACTGTAAATTATATCAAAATGTTGTCGTGGGTAATAACTGAGTCACCTCTAAAAACCTTGTTTTGTGTTTTTTTTTTCTGTCCTACTTTGACAGGATGTATTGCTGCTCAGTCAGTTCATCAGATCAGATGGAGGGATGCTGCCCAAAAGAATCACCGGTCTTTGTCCTGAAGAGCATCGCAAGGTTGCCGTGTGTGTGCAGATGGCTCACAGAGCAGGTGTGTGTACCTTGGTTCTCAAAGAGGGGCCTTGATTTACAATGGTCCTGAATAATTATGGCATACAATTGGATTGTGCAGCGGGGTAAAAATACATGATCGTGTGACACAAGAAGGCATGCTCAATACCTGCCATACATATTCTTTCTCCATTAGCTTTTGTTAAAAATGGCCGACAAGTGTTTTTTTTTTTTTTTTTTTAGACAGTTATTGTGTTACAATATGACGACTACACGAGTGTAGGTTAATGATAGCCATTGACGCTACCTGACGACTTGTTAACAACAGTCCTTTTTGTTTTGGTTCCGAGGTTTGCTTCCCGACCACCGACCCAAACTTCCAGAGGGCCACGTCCCGAAGCCCAAACCGCAACTCAACAGGTGACGCCAACACACGCGTTTTGTTTCTTCTGCACAGAGCGTTATGTATTACACTAAAAGCTCCGTCTGTCCACCCCCGTGCAGATACCTGACCCGCTGGTCCATTAGATCTGTCAAGCCCATCTACAAACGCGGGCTAAAGTGGTGCAAGAAACGCATGGCGGTCGGAAGCCCTCTGCTCAAGGACAATGTGCGATACGGTCCCAAGCCCCTTCACATTAAACACTGAAGAATCCTTGCGCTGCAGCTAGTTGGTTTGTTTAAAAAAAAAAACCCTTAAAGTATTTATGGAGACGAAAGGGCCGTTGGTGGGCAAATAAAAATATGCTTTGTTGATCTTTCATTTTTTTTAAAATCATTCAGATTGAATGAAACGGTAAGACAAATACATTTTATCCTGCGGTACACCACATCTCTCTTTTAAAGCATGAAGGGCAGGTCCAAGTTCTTGGTCCCGTAGCCGATGTAGATGAATCCGTGCAGCGGTGTCATGGGTACGTGGTAGAAGGTCAGGCCCAACCACAGCAGGCTGCGAATCACGCACACTTTGTTGGCACTCTCAAACTGAAGGCTCCACGATCCTACACGCACAAAGATGGGAACAATTAGTGCGCATCACGTTACTACCTAGAGTGAACCTCAGTTCATCACGTAGGATACATTCCAGACATATGTGAAAATCTGCGATGTAAAGACCATATGAAGAAACATTTTTCGAGTTTCTCCCAACCCACACATTCGAAATCCATTTCAACTTAATATGTTTCTGTTTCTCTCTTTCTGACAAGAAATCGGAGACTATTGAATAACATCCCTGAGGGTAGTTTGTCAAATAAGAAGCAAAAGCAAGTTGAAGTAAAACTGGAACACAAAACAAATGTATCTTCAAACACTGCAACGTTCAACTTAAGCCAACGCCGTACTCCCAACTTGATGTCAAATTTTGCTTTCACCTTTCGGAATGTCCTCACTCAGCGGATCCAGAAAGTCCAAAGCGGGGTTCAAATCAGCCATCTCCAACAGGGACTTCTTCTTCAGGTTCTTGGGCTGAGCAAAGTGAAGAAAATTTTCAAGTTTCCCTGCCTGAGTGTTAGAGAGGCCTGAGGGACAGACATTGTTTTCATGTTTTTTTTTTCCCCTGCTAAGCAGCTTTGCGTTCACACAAGAAAGCAATTTGAAGCCACTCTCACCGCCAAAGCTGCGATTGATCTGGACGACGCCGTGCGTGCTGTTAATGAAGGCGCCCCGCGGTACCACAGAAGCGTCTTCGTTGATGTGGTGAACCGTCACCGCCAGCCTTGTCTCCTCCGTCACTTTGGTCTGAACACAAGAACAAATTGAAGTGGATACAAACTGGATTTGTTCCTCGAGTGCAATCATGAAAACCAGGTACAGATTTTTAGCCCACGACCAGAACGAAATCCACCTGGAAATGTGACCTGCCCAATCCTCAATATGTTTTAGAGTGAGTTATTGTGGCCTATTTGTTGTTGTTTGAAAAGTTGGACAAAAAATACTTTAACATGCACGTATTCACTTTGTGGGTACAAACCTCATCTAAATGGGATAACTCAAGATGGTACTCACTGTCGACTCCTCCACTGAAGGATCAAGTCTTTCCGCTTGTCTGGACTCGTACACAAATGATGGGTCGCCTTCGAATCGGCCCTTTGCTGTTTTGGAAACGTCCTCGATCATTTCGGTTGTGGTCGTGGGGATCAGGAACCAATCGATACAATTGAAGCTGGAAGATCACACCGTGAGGAATGTAAACGCGTGCGGTTTTAAAACGCAAATAAATAAAGCTGCTACCTGTAGAAATGCTGCGTGTCCTTCAGCTCGTCATCCCTTCTCCCCTGAGCGATGAAATAGTGCTCTTTTAAACCGAGTATTTTGCCCCAGAATAACACTCGATTGAACTTGTAGTTTTTCTTCAAGATAATCAGTGAAGTTTGCAGAGCCGCCCTCTGCTCCGTGTTCAAAATGCACCCGCTACCCGCAACCAGCTCCAACGAATAGGATAACGAATTAGCGTCCATTGTCAATGTAGTTGTTGTTAGCACTGTCTGAACCGTTATTAGCTCGCTAGCTAGCGCCAGACAACGCTTCCGGGCAGGGAGTTTGGTCGTTACTGTTTTAGTAAACCCGCTCGTCACAAATTATTAGCTAATGGTTCGTTTTGGGCGTCATTTTTCTCTGAACTAGTAATGGTTTTAGCGTCACTTTTTTTTGAGCGTGTGGACTTGGCTGTTGGTTCCGGGTTGTCCTGGCAACGTTTCAACAAACCATTTGATTGGTCACGCAGAGCAACTAATGTGACGTCATTCAGAATATTTGAATATATCAGCGCTGTTTTAAGAGACAGAAACTACACGTTGAACGTTTTGAACTACAACTTGGAGAATATAAACTTTTATTGCTGTAACCCGGTGTGTGTTTCAAAAGCGTGCTCATAATCACATGACAGCGCGTAACTTTCTCGTTGCCAATAACACGTCATTTGATTGGCGTGCGAAGTTTTTTTCCCCTGACGTCATTTACGAGCGCGCAAACGTGATTTCAAATGGCGTTGATTACAATGTGAACGACACTAAGAGATACAAAACGACAACCCAGAAGTCATAAACTCTCCCGTCGGCGCAAACTGGTTTGTCTTTTGTTACATGAACTAAAAAAAAACAAAGAAAAACTGCATTTGCTGATAGAACTGTACATTCCAAGTGCAACGCTTTGCATTATTTTTGCAACGATACCTGTCCGACCCAACACGTTGGCTTGTTTCCAACCAAAAGTTTCTCTAATCAGACGTCAAAATGTCCCTCTCAAAGAGGCCTGAAAGCTGAAACATGTTAAGCAGCCAAGACACATTGCACGTTGCATTTAAGTTTAAAATACTACTCCCTCTTGTTTTTCTCAGTATGTTCAGTGTTCTTTGCAACCCTACAAAATGATAAGAAAATGACAAAATTAGCTAGGTAATATGGCATGGTTTGTTGTTTGTTCTAAGTCCACAGACAAACAGTGATTATCTGAAGAAAACTGAATCAAAATGTTTATATGTGATACAACACTAATTTTAACCCTTTTTATTAAAGGTTCTGTTTTGGAGAGAATCAGAGGTTGCCTGTACAGTACTCGCCTGCAAATAACTACAGGACACAACAGTACATGGTAAGTGATCAACGCCATTGTGGTCTAATGGAGCTGTAATTTATTTTCTAAAGTATAATATGGAATGATAGTTTACATAATTAGAAAAATCACATTACATTTGGGAGAAAGCTGGAATGGATAAATGGAATTTGTGTGGTGAATTCAGTTCGTCTCAATGGCCCACCACATAATAAACTGCTTTTGCTCCAGAGTGCCGTTTAGAATATTCCCTTTTTTTTTTCTCCCTAAATTGAAAATATCCATTCATTCCCATGCTTGCCTCTTCCCAAGGCTTGGCTTCAATTGTCCAAACAAAAGACCTCAGTTTGGAGTCACATGCTCCATTAGCAGTGATGGCTTCAGTTCCCTGCCAAGCTAATGTCGCCGACTCATGGAGAGAGAGGGGGTGGGGGGACGACTGGGGTGACTTCTTTGGAAAAGTGGGGAGTGTGCAAGGACAGTTTACACAATCACATACAGAAACATAGTCTGAGGTAAGGTTTTCAGATCATTTAGTGACCCGTGTTGCTAATCATGAATATAAATCTTATCATCTAAATGTGTCTTAATGGCCATTTGAGAGAATGGAAAAGAATCTAATGTACACAGGATAATGTTTTGTCAGCCATGCATGCCCTTTGCTTCCTGCCCATGCATACTGAACAGGATTTGCTTTTTCACGAGAAAGATACATTATCAAACACTCATCTTGAAAAGGCCTAATATTGACTGGCTAATTAATCAGCGGGGTCCTCCTTTATTTAATGTTCATCCTGAAATTTAACCCAAAAAACAATATATCTCTAACGTTCTGTGATTTGTGTATTTCTATTATTTCCGTGGAAGGCCTTGCGAGAAAATAACCAGAGAGAAATAGATTTATTTTTTTTTTTAAAGGCCATATTGAACAGCCATCTTGTCCACTTGTTACTCCACACATGCCTCGGTCCAATCTCACTTGATACAGGATTGGAAGAAAATCTGGAGGTGGTCGCGGTCCCGCTCCCTCTGGGAAACCCACCGCCCCGGGCGACCCGGGTTGCCACGACGCTAATCCCGCCACACAAAAGGCGAGGGCGCGTCCTTTAGCATGTCGCTGCCAGACGCTCTTCGTTGGCTTCGAGGGTCACGGCCATCGATCTTGGCGCTGACACATGGGCGAAACCTGTGCACTAAACTGTCTTCAATTCCTTTTTGATGCACTTGATATGAATAAAACCCCGTGGCTCTTGCTGAACTTGAATGGCCTGGGAGTGCAGGATGAAGTGAATGCTGAAAGAGAGGCGAGCAAGTGACTAAATAGTGGTGTCTATGTCGTACAAAAGCGCAGACAACAACAATGGCAAGAATGCATTGAGAGGAAATTAGATGGACTGGGTTGCAAACCTACACACAACTCAATCTAGAGACTCTTTTTTTTTTAGGGGTTGTTTTGTTTTTTTGAACTAGTTGAACGTCAGTGCGAACAAATGCTCTGGACCACCTTCAGCAGTCCTTCCAGCACGAGCCAAATTTCTTGGTGTGTTTCGCAATTGAATTAGGCTGAGGTTTTCACACGATCATTAATTCCAGCAGAGCCACGTGTGGCTCAAGCTGTGCACCACTGACAGGGCTTGTGTGTTTTGGGCACAGTGTGGTACTGGAAAGTTTCACTAAGCTGTGAGCACATCACCCAAAATTGACATTTCAGCAGTTAGGCCCATGCATTTGGATCAGGGTTATGATTGTTGTGGATTTTTAATTATATTTTTTTGCTAGTTAGTTTGCATTTCATATTGACTTTTGTTTTTTAAAACTCAATTAGTTTGAATGCATTTTTCCGAGCAGGTTTGTTTATTTTTATTTTTTTGAAAATGCTTTGTTTTATTTTAGTTTTACAATTAGTTTTGGGGTTTTTATAATTGGAGTATTTGTCGAGTGCAAGATAAAAAAAAAAAAAGCAGGGTGGGGGGTCACTCATTATTGTGTAACAAAGTTAAATGAACTACAATTCTCAAACGACTGACCTTTCTTTTGTACAGACGTACGGAAATACAAAAAAAATATATGCAGTGGTACCTTTACTTACGAAATTAATTGGTTCCGGAAGAAATTTCTTAGCTAGAATTTTTTTTAAATTGAGACGCGTTTTCAATGTAAATGCCCTAATTCGTTCCAAGCCCCCCCAACATTCAGACAAATGTTTTCTGAAGCATAAAAATGCATCAAAATATGTAACTAATACATGTTACAGTTAGATTATTGCACAGTAAATGAGAGTTGTGCATAATGTTTAAAAAAAACCCAAAATAATGAATAAAGAATAAAAATGACGGTCATTTAACTTCTACGTTTGCATTTTTATCGGCTTTTAACAATCCTTTGAAAATGTCCAAGGCGAACATCAGCATCGTGAGCGATCGGCCGTCTGGTGAACACTTTTTCTGGGTGATCCACATTTACGTAAAACTATCAACATTCCACCACCACGCTAGATGTGAAATAAAGCAAGGACTATACAATGAAAGCGTAGACGTTCGGTCAAATTTTATGAAAGATGTTTCACGAAAATATGACTTGCAGCGTTTAGGAGTTGAGAGCCTTTTTTTTTTTTTTACCAACGTTCCTTCATTTCCTGGGACCTCACAAAAGTATTTGAATATTCTTTCACAGCCAAGTCGACCGCCTGATTTCACGCCAAAGGCCTTTCAATTACTGGAGACAAAACTTGCTTTCCTTTGCCAACAGCTGCAAATCTACAATTCTCCCTCTCAGATCTTAACCGAGTCCTTTGCACTTTCCATTGTTCTGAGTATAGCCTCATCTGTCATATTTTTTTCGAAAGAAAATTGCAGCTGTTGCCACTCATGATGACTAATGGGCCATGGTGTCAAGTTAAACCACCCTGGAACCTTTTGTATCACTTCTTAAAGCATTTAGAGCACGGGTGCCCAATAGGCACAAATAGTTATTTTGCCGTCCGTTCTGGTGGAGGAGGGGGCGTTCCTATGAAGACTGTGACGTAATCCGCAATATGTAAATAACGCGTGAACGTCGAAGCTAAAACAAATATATAAATCACCTCCTAAAAGTGGACATCGTGTCACTCGTATCTCAAGGCATCAATGCAGTTTTATTTCAGGACCCATTATAGAGATCGTCCCAAATGATTAAACAGTCGAAACAGTTGCGGGCCGAACTGTACATGCGTGACGCAATCTGTGTTTACATCCATCAGTGTCGTGAAGGTCCCGTTCGACCACGTCGATCCGTGCCGAGCAGGCCTTTTTCATGTCACCTACTAACCTACATATGTTCGTTGTTTGGGCAGCACTCCGCCGCCCAAGCGGAACAAGCGCTAATCAAGCGCAGCCGAAAGTCTTTACATGACAACAGACTATAACGGAGGTCTCGGTCAGCCCCGGTTGGGAAGCGTGTGATGAGAAAGAGAGCGTGAAAGGGGAAAAAAAGTGGCAGCGGTACAAGAGCGAGGGGGGCGACGGTGGCGAGAGATCGGGTGAGGGGGTGGAGCTACGGCCGCCATTGTCCACTAATGGGCTACATTGTAAGATTAAAATCCCCCAGTCAAATCTGTACATTGGACGAGTTTTCAGTTTAGCTGTTGCAGATCAATAGCGCCCCCTTACGACACACAATGGTTATTACTTGAAACGTTTGGAACATGCTTTCAGTTGTTTCAAATCAAAACGTGTGTTTGAAAACCTTTTTTCACACCACCCTGAAAAACTGACCGGAAAATTTAGAGGAAATGTTTAAAAGCGTGAAAAGGGTATTATCGTTTCGAAAAAAAAAATACAGAAAAAGACGTGAAAATTGAATTTCCTGTTTGGAAAAAATATTTACAAAAAGCTGTTGAGGGGAAATAAAAAAATATAAAAATAAAAATATTTAAGTTTTGTTAAATATGTGACAGTATGAGTGACAAAATGCGTTTTAAATTGTGCGAACGCTTTGATGCATGTGTTTTGAGATGGATTAAAAAAAAAATTGGGGGAAAAACAGGATTTCTTTGGAGGGTTTGAAAGTGTTGTAACATTTTTTTAATTTGTTTTAAACCGTGAAAAAGAAATCTTAATTTGAAGAACAAAGCGAACAATTCTCCAGTTGACTGTGTGACGATTAACCCCAGTGTGTATGTTCATAAATACCAAGTCTGTGACGTAGAAAGTGCATTATTAACATTAAGTGCTTTCCTTGGAAGGGGTCCATCTGAATCATAAAACACACACATCTTTGGCATCAGTTATGCTAATTTTGTTCATGCGACATTAGTTTCATCATTTGTCAAGACATTCATTCCACTGTACCTTTTTTTTCCCCCTCAAACAAAGCTGTGCAAGGTATTTTTGGCGACGAATCACAGAGGGCCAGAAGTGTGCTTTCTTGTAAACATGGCTCTCTAATGTCAAACAAATGGCATCCTTTCCCCTGCGTTGATCTTTGACACAGTGGCGTCACACTTCTGTGACCTTTGATGGCTGGGTTAGTTCACAAGGGAGCGGGTTGCCAAGCGAAAGGTTAAACTAAGTGTTTTTTTGCCACGTTGTCGTTTTCAGGACTGGGGCTGTGTGTTGGGCTGCCCTCTGTGGAACCGTACGACGGCCGCTCCTCGGCCGCCTTTGGAGATCCCGCGGATGATTTGGGATTCAGCACTCTGGGTACGTAAACCTGGAAAAATAATACACAAAAATGTTAAAAAAAAATATGAATTAGCAAAGCCTTATTGTGGTTTTCTTATGTCATTTACCATGGTGTTTTCCTCCTCTTGTTCAGGCGTGTCCTCATCTTGCTCCCTCACCTGTTGGACAGAAGCGATGTCAACGGACGAAGAAGAAATGTGTAAGTCTGCAAAACACGACATGCGGCTCACCACGTAATTGTGCGGACTGAGGTACTGGAAATGGCCAAAGCAGGTGTAGCTGAGGCAGATGAGGATGGTGACGACGAGCACCACCAGGGTGAACAGAGAAGTGGGTGCCCAGAAACCTGGAATGTCAGAGAGGTTCCTAATATTTTCCCGCTTGCTTAAAAACAATAGTTCGAAAGATGCCCGGTGTTGCGACCGCTGCACGTCACTAACCCGTTCTGAGAACAGAAAAGAAATAAAGCCATATGAGGCAGATGATGGGCGCGGCCAGAGCTTGATTGACAGCCTTCAGGTGGACTTGGCGGTCGAGACGCGTCGGCAAATAGGCGAAGTACAAGTTGTGCTTGTCGACCAAGTGCTTCAGGGTCATGTATAGGAGGCCTGATGGGACACACCGAGTCATCGGAAACGGACATTTTGAGGTTAAGAACCGCGCATGATGTAAGAACATGTGATCAAGCGGCATGGGAAGGCACACCGAGTTAATGTCAAACTTTTCAATTCCAAAACTCCTCCCTGAGATTCGGACCTTAAATATACAGAATGCTTTATCTGTGCAAAAGTGTGCTGTCGTACTCACCAAAAGGCACAATAATGGGACAAATGACGCTGTATGCCATGATGACAGTAAACACGCACAGGATCCAGCCGTACATGGCGCCATACTCAAACTCGTAGGCTTGGTTCTGGCAATTGAAATCAAAATAATGTATCAGGAAACGGAGAAAAATAAAACTTGCGACGGCATTGTCTTAAATATCTGTTGTCTGGCCTTCGAAACATGCTATTAAAATTGTGTATAGCCATAAAATGAATAAATAAAATGGTATCCTCGTTAACATGAGTCAGTATCTGGTCCGACATTTGAATAGATTTCGATTATAAATCAGCTCTCATTCCGGTAACTGTCAGCATTTATACTGGTCGCCATATGGCCCGTCGCAAACCTGTTTGACGTATTTCCTTTCTGCGGCCGAGCGGGCGAACGCTAGGCAGATGGTGTAAAGGAGGAGACCGGGCAACCGCATGAGATCCATGGCCGAGCCCACCAGGCCCGCCGCAATGACGTAGTTGACGAAAAAGGATCCTTGGTCAGGTAAGAACACACATCTAGTATTCAGATGGTCAAACAAAAAAGTAAGATGTCAGTTACGGACGGCTCTTTTATAGAGTGGAATGTGGTGATGATGTGCAGATCGTTTATCGATTGCAGGGGTGCCCAACTAATCGATTGCGATCGACCGATAGCTCGTAGACTCGTCCCAAGTCGGTCGCAGGGATTCTCGGGGGAAAAAAATGTGTCTGTCTGTGTGTGTTATGAACTCATTCACTCCCAAAGACGTTTTTGAACGTCTTTGGGAGACTTGGTCCAGAATTGGCTGGTACTGAATGAGTTTTAATGTAAAATATTTTTGTGTCATTGTACACCGCACGCAAAGCATCTTATCAGCTTCACCTTCACCCCCGAAAAATGTAATAAAATAATACAAAAATAAATTAAACAATAAATAAATAAATAAAAATAATAAATAGATAAATGATAATATAAATATAAAAATAAATATAATATAAAATAGATAAATAAATAAACAAACAAACAAACAAAAGCAGGGCACCTTTAACCTACGGTGGCACGTGAGCGCCATCACCGGAAGTTGTTCTGCGCGTGCATTGTGTGTGTATGCGTGCACGCACGGTAACGGTCGATGGCGGAAGGTTGGTTGGCTTGAAAAGTAAGATCGTTGGTCAAAAAAAAAAAAAAAAGGTTGGGCACCCCTAATCTATATTAGTGACAAGGAGATATGCGGAACAGTGAAAGGAACTTACTCAAACCTCAACTTCCCATCCGTGAGAAATTCTTTGTCAAAAAGCCAGCGGAAAAACAAGGCGAGACTGCGAGAGATAAAAAAAACAAAAAAAACACTTGTTAGCTTATTTTGTGTGTGCGTGTTTAAAAAAAAAAAACATATTCGGTACATCTGCACAAAATGAATTTTATAGTAAATGAATCAATAAATCGTCCTTGACAAACTCTTTGCTCTTGCATTTCCAAACATGTTGCTCCATTTTGAGTTGCTTAAGGATTGCACGACTGTCCGTGTTTGATGTTATGTGTTGTGTTGATTATTTTTAACAGTTTTGTTCAGTGCTTTGTTACAGCTGTTGTGAAAGCACTATCAGGAAGTATTGTATCGTATTGCTTTTGTGTCAGGCCGTATACAAATGTCTGTTATTATCCTTTGGTGTATGTGTGCCCCCCAAAAAAAGCCTTTTGGAGGCATTTCTACTGTCTCGGTAGCACCCATTGCCACATCAGAATGTCTTCAAAATTCATCCGTTGAAGCCAGTTTCCTTGAGCAGTGTAACAGTATGCTAAAAATCATAGTTTGGTATCAACCGTGTGTATGTCTATATCTATCCATCTATACATATGACCTTTTTTAGGAAAGTTCATCATCAATAGTTTGTCGTCTTCCCAAAGAAATTCACAGCGCAGACAACCGCAACCGTTCTTTTGTTGACGGCGTAGCCCATTGAAATTACCTGGTGAGTCCGAGCGAGGGAAGGATGAGCACCATGAAGAGCAGGAAGAAATAAAGCTTGTGCATCATGCTCAGCTGCTCGCTGGACCTGAAAAGAGCACCCGGGACAATTCAAATTCCAAAAGCGCGGTCTCGCTTGGCTCGCCAATCTGAATGAACGCGTCGCCCACCTGCTCCAGTGGGCCTCCCCCAGCGTGGAGTAGTAGACGATGGTGGGCAGCAGCGCGGAGAAGCACCACAGTAAGAACGTGGGGAAGAACTGGCTGACGATCGGGCTCTGTGGGGAAGCGAGAGAAAGGTCAGACTTGCAGCCCCCCCCCCGTGGAGGCGTGGGAGTCTCTCGAGCGTACGTTCAGATAGCGGATGGGCTTGGTGACATTGAATTTGTCCATGGTGTTGATGATGATGGTGGGCGTGGTGAGGAAGGTGAGCAGGAAGAAAAGCAGGAAGTTGAGCATGGCGTAGCGCGCGAACCAGGAGAAGCCCTGCACTGACAAATGGTCCCTGGACGGGGAGACAAAATTGAAAGGCAACATGACCACTTCTTTATGCCGTCATCACTAAGTACCCTTGTGGAAATGTTTTATACTTGGAGGAAAAAAAAAACAGTGATTGGCCCAAATATAAGACGGCCCTGATTATAAGACGACCCCCTCTTTTTCAAGACTAAAGTTGGAAAAAAGACTTTTTAACACCAAATTAATTTTTATACAGAAAATAATTACAGTACATCTGAAACAAACGATTCTAACAATATATTTGAGTGAAAAAGCATGTTACTTTGCCTCATTCAAATCTTAATATCTGAACATTTAAATATGTAAACTAAAGTGCAATCACATTCGTAAATGAATGGCTTCTGTTTTTTGAAATGTAAATGACATAACTTCTCCTCAGCTGCCGGTTAACCTGGCCGATCTTCGACCCACTTTTCTCCAGATTGTCGCTACGTTTCTCCATTTTCTTCTCTTTCTTACCGCTATTTTTTATTTTTCTTCTTCGTGCTACCGCTATTTTTATTCTTCATGACAGGCGTTCACTTTGGCCTGGGGAGTCAAGTTCAGCATTCGCTTCAATGATATCTGGCGCCATCTAGCGTCGTGAATGGGTATAATGTCTAGACCCCAAATATAAGATGACCCCCACTTTTTCAGTCTTATTTCAATGCACAAAACTTATATTCGGGCCAATACGGTAATGTAAATTTGATTCAGAGCATTTTTGTCAAATCCACACATTCTATCAGGTGTTGTGAAGCTCGACTCTTATGCAAGTCAAGTGCGACGCAGCAGCCTTACCAGTAAACATTTTTCGGATGGGGTGCGAAGCTGACCCTCCACTTCCTCACTTTGATGCTCGCACTCTTGCTCGAATGCTGAGGCTGCCGACAGCAACCCGCGCCGCTGCAGTCGAGCGCGTTGAAGTCTTTGAGAATGCTAATGAGCGCGGGGGGGGGGGGGGTGGGTTGTTGGGGGGTTGGGGGGGGGGGGGGGGGGGGGGGGGGGGGGGGGGGGGGGGGTCAGGTGTGAGTGACAGGAAGGATGTACTTTTCAACAATGGCAAGCATCCAGGTTCCCATCACGCCAGAAAAAGAGTTTAGTGATTTTTCTGGTTCTGTGACAGCATGTTGGACTGGGTTCCAATATGGATTCCCGCCTGGCGCAAATGCGCGTGTCGGGCAGAGGCAAGATAAATGACTCACTACTTGGCCATGGCCTCCGTCTGAAGGGTGACAAAGGCAAGCCCCAGGGGGCGCTGTGGCACCTCTTCCACCTGCTGCCTCACCTCCTCCAGCAGGTCTTTTTCTTTGGTGCTGTAGTAATGTATAGCGTCCACCTGAGGGAAGACGCATATGAATGAGCACTGCACAAGTGATTCCCGCCTCGGATTACAGCTGCATCCCACTGGAAATCAGCTTTTATTTCTGGGGTGACACAAGGATTCCAAAACCAGATATTTTCCTTCAATATGAATATACTTCTTCGGGCCGGAGCACACAACACAGTTGCTGCTCCAGGAACGATTTGAAACTATCTGTCGCGAGTCGGCTCCAAAACAACTCTCAAGAAGCTATTTTAGAAAAGACAAAGCTGCTGTTTCGTGACAGCATGAAGTCTCGCTGCTGCAACCTTACCTTGTCACACTTGGCGCAGCAACACAGGTAGCCGCACAGTCTAGGATATATTGTTTCCCGCTGGCCCGTCTTCTCCAGGACACGCTCGTAGTACCGCAGGTTTTTTCCGGCTCGGACCCTGGGGGGGGTGAAAAGCACCTTGGCGTATTTGTCACACCCTGCATCGAATTGTTCTGTTTACGCATCAGAGCAAATTTGTCAGGCAAGTGAGAGGGGTGTGGTTGTTTTTTTTAGGCATTTGAATGTAGTTCGTCGAAACCTCGCATTCTTACCTTTCCTTATCAAGGTGCATGAGCTTGGCCACATCATAGGCAATGTTGACCGCACACACTCGGCAGCTTGGGTACGCCTCTCTGTGCAAAAGAACAGCGCGGGAAGCAAGCACTCCCTTTCGCTCGCGAACTTGGTTTCGTCCACTCACATGAAATGCGTCTTGACGTCGTCCTCTGTCGCTGTTTTAGGGAGAGACGTCACAAACAAGGTGTTTCTGGCCTGCAAACATTAGCGGGGAACCGTTTAGCACAAGTGCCTCCGAATCAAACACGAAATTGTGATTTTTATTTTATTTTGGGCAGAAACTCACCGTATCTTGCCCCATGCCTTTCATTTGCGATGTGTGATGCCGCAGCAAAACAACAGTGAGGGCAAGATAGAGGACGGCAAACACCGTGTGAAGCCACAACAAGTCGTTTCTGGAGAGAAAAACAAACTTTTAAACCATAGCCAAGACACCACTCAGTCATGTTCTGTGCAGTTCAGTCAGCGTGAAAGGCACCGTTACGTGTGTTCATGTTTTTGATGCGTCCATACTTTCGGCCATAACGCAACCCGAATGTGTATAGTACATGAATCGGACTGCGCTGTTGTCTATCGCTAACCTACGCTAACGCAGTAGTGACGTCATAGTTACAGTGAATATGTGTGTGAAACACACATGGCAGGTCATTGAAACATTTATACTACAAAAATCTGTGGACCCGGAATAGAGCCTTGTGAAACACCACGGTTGTCTAACTCCAGGGGGTTCATGTCCCAAAGGGACGTATTGTTATGTCACTGTGCAAACTAGTTGACAGTTTATAACCTGATGTTGGGACTATTGTAAACCAAAGGACTTTCCACCCCCTTCAGTTGACCATTAAAAATAGGAGGGTGACAAGTTTTTAGTGGTTTATGATTCTGTGAAAAAGGGTCATGAAAACAACAGCTAGTTGTAGCCCATGAGTTTTTTTTTTTTTTTTTAACGTGAGTGTAGGTTTTATTGCAGTTTATGCTTCTTCCGTGTTGCTGTTTAATACCCCTTCTGAAGATTCCCAATCGTCGTCCTTCCGAAACTCTCTGGATTGTTGCCTGAAAGACATTTAGGATGGAAAACGTGTCCTTTGAGAGAGTCACTGATTTTTGTTTAGTTTGTTTTTTGGTTTTTTTAGTTTTGGCTCCACCTCTTTCAGTTGCAATATTTGCCATTAAACCGTGAGCCGTTAATCTGTACGTAATAATGTCAACCGACATCAGTCTTCTCAAAGTGGGCAAAAAGGAGAAGCAGCCGTAAAGGGACTTTTTTTTTCCCACTTTCACATTACAGGTTAATTTGTCAACACAGTGGAGTTTAGAGGAAGTGAATCTGGTCGAGCCATTTTTAGCCACGATTAGCAGGCTGTATACGCGAAGTGAATCGAAGTGAAATTACGAGGCGCCAAAGCTCACCCAGCAGGTCACCCGTCAGGTTGACAGGCAGTATGATTGAGAGGGAGGTGACAGTAATGACCAGCAGCAGGATGACCAGGTGACGCTGGAAGGACAGGTAGTGAACGGCGTCGCTGCCGCATCTGGCTTTTATTTTTTCATCACTAAGGGGGGGGGGGGACAAAAACAAATACGGAGCTGTTTATTTTTTTCAAGGCCTCAGGACTTGACGACAAAGCAGATGTTGACAAATCATACTCACTCCATTCTGAGAATGAAAGGCAGCCAAGAACAGAAGCCCTTTAAGAACGAAATGCAAAATAAATGTTCAAATTGTGACAAATTACTTTGGCCTATCGTCAATCAATAATTTGATTCGACAAACCATTTCATACTCGAGGTCATCCCCATTGGACACACAAGACGACATGTGTCTGTAGCGATGGCGTCCCGTCCCGGTGACTCTAAAAACGCAAGGCGATTCTTTGAAACAACAGTCAAGTTGCAACAGCTTAATCTCGAATGTATGCTTCTTGTCCGCAAATATCAAAACAGCTTCGGGCCAAAATTGCACCTAAATCCAAACGCAAAAGTCGAGTGTCTCATCCAAAACTAACCCTTCTTTGTCCGCAACCAGTGCCAGGCGGCCATAGTCCCAGAACTTCCTCCGTATAATCGAAAACAGGATCAGTAACACCTATCGGACCAAAAGATAACAGTAGATCCATTTTACACAAACTTAAGTTAACTTTCTCAATTATGGACAGACGGCGGCTCGTACCAAAAAGACGCTAAAGTTGAGAAGCAGCACAACAGGCACCCCCCCAAACTGGACTCCGTTCAGGACGGTGTTCTGGGTACTGTTGAAGCAGGTCTTGTCTTTGGAGCCGCTAGAACCAGTGGTGCCGTTTGAGCCCACTAGCGACCACTGCTCCCACCACCAAGACGACATCACTGCAGGGGAAGCGGCAGTTTTTGTCTGCAATGTAACGACATACATCTGAAAATTCAGACTTTCTTTTTTTTTTTTTGTACGGGCATATTACCTCAGCAAGTGTAAAATCGGGTCATAACATAAAGCATGTGAAGATTAAAAACAATAACAGCCGCTATTTATTTTCAGTCCGATAGCAGGTCAGGTAATCACCACTGCGCATTGAAAAACATGATTATTTTTTGATCTGTAAACACCCTCCTCCTCTCTAATTTGGCTCAAATTTGGTCAAATTGGGGGACTTTGGTTTTGACAGAACAAAAGTCAACAACTAGGTCTCAAGGTGCATAGTAACACGCTATATTTGCTTTGTTACATTTACTCAAGTAACTTTTGATGAATGGTACTCGTCAGGCTAGTTTTAACGCAACATACGTTTTTACTTGAGTGCGATGCTACTATGAATTGCATTGTGGTCGATTTCTTGCGACTTTTATTTGTGTCATCATCATTGTTTCTGTGTTTTGGTTTGTCGGAAGGAGTTCTGCCTTGGGTGCAGTCACATGACCATTCATTTAACGATTCAATTGCTCACCGCTCAGGTCTTGTACTTTTTCTTTTCTGTGAATACTTGCAGTTATTTATGTGGAAGGCTAATTCTAAAGTAACAGTCCTCTTACCGGAGTACAATTTTTTTGGCTACTCTCCTCACTTCATTTTATGTTTGTATTTTGTGTCTGTAGTTGTTTACTTATGTATTAGAACGGGCGTAACTGCGCATACACTTGACGATGGAGACCGAGTAATTTTGCTCCCTGTAGCCGCAATAGATGATTGCGACAGCTTCCTTCAGTGTTTCCTTCCTAACTTTGGCCACGGGGGGAATGGGGAGGGGGATGGGGGGGGGGCACGCACCTTGATGTGTTTTGCGCCGCTCCACGCGAATCGGACACGTCAAATCAACAGTGTGCCTCTTCGCTCCACGCCTCAACTGACCCTCGCGCCGCGAGTCACGGGTTCTGCATTGGGCGCCTCAGTCTCACTTCAAGTTATACTCAGGAATCCAAACGACAGTCGTATCCGCCATTTTCGTATGAGACACACTCGTGATTTTATTGCCCCATCGCTAATGACAAATTAACGTTGCAAAACAGTACAACTTGCGGTAGCTGAGGAAGAAAAAAAAAACTTTCGAAAGCGGAACAGGAGTGAGATCATCGCAGAACTTTTTCCTACCTCGCTGAGAACTTACCGCCCCCTCCACTCCGTCAACGTCCGCTATTCACAAACTTGACCAGCCGGTTCGGAAAATGAGAAGCACTGCGTGTTTGGCTTGCCTACGTGGCCGAAAGAACCGCAGCCCGCCCTGCCTGTTGTGATCTCTGCGCCCGTCGCTGAGCCGCAAAGTAAACTTTGGAGACGCGCGGCCGTCAACTGTCAGCGAGTCTTGTTTTCTTGTTCAGCCGTCCCACTTTACGTTGCGCGCATGCGCAGATAGTCGACCGCTGTCAGAGCAGAAACGTCGTGTGGTTTCGGAAAGCTTACTATACTATCTTACTATGTCTTCATTTTATTTAATCATAGTAGTTAATATTTAATCATATGAGCATTTATTTTTTTTAGTAGAAAAATAAGCGTGTGCTATGTTAAAGACACATTTTACAGATAAATTGAATGTAAATATATCGTATAAATATCAGAGATGGGCAGTCCGGGCCTGGGATGGAACACGCCCATTTTTTGGGGACTGAAGACGATGAAGGACGGATTAAGCAAGGACGCCCGTCCCTTTAATCGTCCCTAACCGTTTTATTTGGTGTCGGGAGGCAAAATAACAGTGTGTAGCCAAACACTGCAATTTCTTAATCGTGAAACCTTTTTCATCTCAACAGTATTTTTAAAGCAACACTGTCATCTAGTGTATAGTCAGAGAACATAACAAAGTACCTATAGACACCCGTTTCACTAATGAGCTCTTCAGCCGGTTAAGAACGCTGGCTGTGTTTGCCTATCGGTGTCTGCCTACATCTGGCTTGGAAGTGTGTTGTCCTATTTGGCCTCCGCAGTCGCACTGATGGAAAAATTGGAATCCACAATTCATCAGCATTTTATGTTGCCCATTCCTGATATAAGCCACAATTTTTCATCAGCATTTTATGTTGCCCATTCCTGATATAAATAGTACAGTGAAATAAAATTTTGACCATAGATGAATTGCAATGCGTGAAGTACAGTGAAAGTACTGTTTGTACATTTGCGGTAAACATTTATTTTCACAGATGCGTGACATGATGGCGTGTATTTTAAAAACACAATCCATCACACGTGACCGCTGCCATTCCGTAACATCGACTCACGCGCAAAGAAAGCCACAAGGAGCCAAAATAAAATACTTGAGTCTTTGCTATCAGTCATTTGCACCCAGGCTCGAGCAAAATTTGAGCAAGGATTACACGGCATCCGACGCGGCGGGCAGAATGTGGCTGGTTCCACCTTGGAGCCATTTGGGAGATGTGCTGTGATTTGTGTGGGACGAAGCATCGCAAAGCAATGTCACGGGCGCGGATCAGATGGCCAAATTAATGAAGCCAATGCAATTAGTCATTCAATTTACTGTAACATTGTGCGGCGCTGCGGTGTTTCCCCCTCCAGATTCCCATAATGTGAAGTTTATAGGCTTCCACCCGGACTGTTCATTTCTGCCTGCTGTGTATTTGTGTCTTCCTTGTCCCGTGTCAATGTGTACTCACACTGATGTTCATGTTTTGGCTGTGTGTTTGTGTGTACATGAGTGTGTGAGTGTTCATGCCTCGCTGTGGGACACGTTGATTAGTGTGTGGTGAGGCTCAGCTCCCAGCTGTCCTCCCAGACCAGCAGCTGATTGAAACCAATCAGGCTTGCGATGGCCCCATTGCAGTGACCCCTCACCCCGCCCGCCCCTGGCCTAATCACCTGCTGATTGGCCCATGCAGGCCCTCCCCCCTCAGTGTTGCTCACCCACCCCCTTGGCACAGAAGGTTAATTTGACCAGCGGATGAAGCCTCCAGGAGGGAATAGGAACGTGTGCCTGGTGATATTGCATGGATCTAGCACACCTGTCAATCACGGCCACTTGTGGGAGGGGGGGGCATGGAAAAACGGTGACAGTCAGGAAGGAACGAAGAGCATCTTCCTGGTGAAAGATGGAGAGTGGGTTTTATTACACCACTAGCTCCCTTTCAGCCTTTGTGCGCATTGCAATCATGAATGTAAAACCTATTTGATATTTTCGTTAGCAAAGCCTTTAGTGTGTGGTTGACACTAAGACGGGCTGAGTCAAGACAAGACGCTCATCCCAGGTCTCTTAATTGCAATGTTGCCTGACGCTCTACCCAAAAGTTGCTCTCACCCCACTGTTTTAATTGCATTAAACGCGCATCAAGGTCCTGAATTTATATATGAATGCAACAATAGTGCCACTTAGTCTCCATAGCGAGAAGCAAAGCCAAGGCCGGCCATCTTGGATTGCCACTCGCTAAGTGTAGCCAACTTGAATACCGGTACACTTATTTATCCGCAGCCTACGGTTGCACCAATAAGTCTGAGGGAAGCACTACATGCACATTTCGTTGGTAACAATATGATTATAAATGTTCTTATATAGAGTGTATCTGTGAGTGCGCCTCAAAGAGTCGTCTGCATCATATTATCAGAACCATGAACAATTAAATGAATGCTAGGCCCACCAGGAAAAAAAAAATGTTCGGCCAGTCGTATGTAGTTCGTGAGACAAGTCACTGACGTTACGTCCTATTCGTTTGCCATCTCTTGGGCGCGCCATCGTCGGGGAACGATCGTCTCATTTCAATTGTCCATCTGCCCGTCTCGCTTCTCTCCTGTTATGCTACTCGTCTCCTCGATCGAATTTCTGGTGTCAGAAGCGAGAATCAGGAATGAGCCCAAGGGCTCTTGTGATTCTGAAATGAAATGTGATCGCCTACTAGGAAGCTCACCCGAAGCTGACGCTGTTGTGATACACAAATAGAGGAGAAACGGGTTGGCTCTAAATGTCCCACAGGCACTCGCCACAACAGAAAGGACAAGTAATTGCAACCACTTTGTACGTATTTCAGTTACCGGGTGAGCGCATACTTAGCCTGGCTTCTTCTCTTTCTTGTGCCCTATGACTCTTTCTTCTTTGTATTTTACAGCTGTCTGGTTGCCCTGTGGCACCATGCTGCCTCTCACAGGTGGTGTGCTCTGTTGGCACCCTTATTTTTTTTTTCTCATCGCATGCGTCTTTCACATTAAAAATTGTTTTTAAAAAAAAATCAGATGAGATGTTAAAAATTGCTGTACCCTGCCTTAACCAAGTTTGTATTACGAATGGAGCGTGTTCCTTTTGTTCTGAAATTTCAACGGTGTTCCCACGTACAGTAAACGCTGCAGTTACTTGTTTATCCAGAGAGAGGCGCTGTTGTATTCACTGTCATTTCTGCAGTAAATCATTTCCAGTCCTTTTTCTTTTTGAGCTGCTTTTAGCTTCTTCTTCGTCTTTTCCTTCTTTTTTTTTTTAATTAAATCAATGTCTAGAATGCCCCGTTATATTCATTAATCCTAAATACCGAAGCTGACGCTGTTGTGATACACAAATAGAGGAGAAACGGGTTGGGTTTAAATGTCCCACAGGCACTCGCCACAACAGAAAGGACAAGTAATTGCAACCGCTTTGTACGTATTTCAGTTACCGGGTGAGCACATCCTTAGCCTGGCTTCTTCTCTTTCTTGTGCCCCATGACTCTTTCTTCTTTGTATTTTACAGCTGTCTGGTTGCCCTGTGGCACCATGCTGCCTCTCACAGGTGGTGTGCTGTGTTGGCACCCTTATTTTTATTTCTCATCGCATGCGTCTTTCACATTAAAAATTGTTTTTAAAAAAAAATCAGATGAGATGTTAAAAATTGCTGTACCCTGCCTTAACCAAGTTTGTATTACGAATGGAGCGTGTTCCTTTTGTTCTGAAATTTCAACGGTGTTCCCACGTACAGTAAACGCTGCAGTTACTTGTTTATCCAGAGAGGGGCGCTGTTGCATTCACTGTCATTTCTGCAGTAAATCATTTCCAGTCCTTTTTCTTTTTGAGCTGCTTTTAGCTTCTTCTTCGTCTTTTCCTTCTTTTTTTTTTTAATTAAATCAATGTCTAGAATGCCCCGTTATATTCATTAATCCTAAATACAACACAATTTAGTCATTTGTCATCACGGGTCATGTGATCAACAGTTAAAAAAATAATAATCTCGAACTCATTTTTTTTTTAACCCACAAGTTTTGTACAAGTTTGAATCACTGCCGTTTGTACATTTTCTTCATCAATATTTTGACAAACTTAGCAGCCAACTCTCCTTTGCTGTGTGTGTGTGTGTGTGTGTGTGTGTGTGTGTGTGTGTGTGTGTGTGTGTGTGTGTGTGTGTGTGTGTGTGTGTGTGTGTGTGCGCGCGCGCGCACCGTTTGTCAGGCTCCTCTGCCTCCTCGTCCCCGGTGGGCAGAATAATGTTGCCAGATTAGCATAACGTTAGCATGTCATTTCCATGTCATTATCCCAGTCGCACTGTAAACGTGTGTGCAAGTGCAGGCATTCTCTTCCCCCCCCCCCCCCTCACTTTCTCTGTGCTCGTGAGTGAACTTTGCATCAGATCAACTGTTTCCCTTCATCTGGCAACACACCCCCACACAAACAATCCCGCCACAATGCGTAGCCACAGCCAGTGACACGGCTCCTTCACTGTCACAAACCCCCATCCATCTCTTTATCGTTGCCATCCACCCATGTAAGCACATACTAATTCCCATTAATCTGCCATTCACGATCCCGTTTGTTTTTATGCTAATATCAGTACCTGGTAAAGACATTAAAAGAATAGTTAGACCCGACTCGTACGGGCAGCCGCTTAATTAGGCACACATGTAGTCTGTAATGAGAACCAGGAGAAGAAATGTACCAAAAAACTGCCTGTGCAAATGTAATTTTGCTCAGTTGGGATTGCTCACTTAAAACAATGCCAATATCACACTAATTGTGTTGTTGCGGCTTTGCTGTTCAATGTCAGTACTTGTTGAAAGTTTGTTCACTTGCCGAGTAATTGTAGCGCCGAGGCAATATGTTGTTTTATTTTTTTTTTTTGTTTTGTCCTTTGGTGAAACTTGAGTCTCACAGCAAATCGAGCGATGCAGCCAACCCCAACTGAAC